GCAGGGAGGCTGAAACAGCGCAGCAGGGAGTCTCCAAAATAGCGCAGCAGCCAAGTCTTGAACCAGCGTAACGCTGGATTTCTCCTAGTACCTCCCCCCTCTGGCGCTGGCCCAGCTTAAGTAGTGCTGGGCCGGACCCAGTAGTCCACGGCCTGCAATCTGGGCCGTGTAGATCAAAGCCTGATCCGCGGTCCAGATCGCAGGCTTCAGTCCTTGGCCAAAAAAACGGCCTGCCTGGGTCCCTACCGGACGTCCAGGCCCTGCCTAGGTCTGGCCGATTTGGTACCTGGCCCGATTCAGGGCCTGTGCGAATGCATCAGGCCTGAACATCTGTCCAGGTCCAAAGTCTGTCTGAAAACGAGTAAGGGCCCAAACGTCTGGCCAAAAACGAGTAGAGGTCCAAACGTTTTTCTGAAAACGAGTAACGGTCCAAACTTAATTAGAGGCTCAGCCTCTGGGCCTGATTTCGGCCCTGGTCCTAACTGTGTACCTGGCCACAAAACGGACAACAGCACATTAGTAAAAACACATCAGTAAATAAATAAATAAGAAATCATCTTAAAGTTGAAGTCTTTCCGATGCAGGCCTAAGTGAAATGGCCGTAGGGCCTCCAGGTTGCGGTGACGCGACCTGGGGGCCCTTATCCAACCTCGGGTCCCGTGAGGGGCCCGTGTGGAGGCTCTCAGCATGTAACACTCTCTCTCTCTCTCTCTCTCTCTCTCTCTCTCTCACACACACACACACACACACACACACACACACACGCGCACACACACACAAAAAAGGAAAAAAAGAAAACAGAGAAAGAAAGAAGACAGAAAACATTAGAAAAAAAGAAGGGCTTGAAAGAATCCGCAGGGAAAGAAGACCCTGTTGAGCTTGATTGCAGTTCGACTCTGTGAAATTACTTGAGACCTGCAGAGTAAGAGGGAGATTTACAGCGCAAGGGAAATGCCATTACTATTAACGTTATTTAATAAAAAAAAATCCTGCCAAGTGGCACGGCCACATGGCTTGATTTCACCCCGCAACCCCCAAACCCTTCCCTCCGCTTCCCCATTGCCTTTTTCCCTTCCCCCTTCCTTCCCCCCCCGGCATAGCCCACCCATCTCTCTCTCTCTCTCTCTCTCTCTCTCTCTCTCTCTCTCTCTCTCTCTCTCTCTCTCTCTCTCTCTCTCTCTCTCTCGCTTTCTCACACACACACACACACACACACACACACACACAAACAGACAAAACATCGACAAAGAAAACGAAAAAGATCGAAGAAAGGAAACAAAAAAGATGTCGCCCCACGCAGGGGGAGGAGTAGGAGGAAGAGATAGTAAGGCCGAGAATATGATGAGTAAGAGGAGAAGAAACATCGAGGGAAAAGAAACACGGGCCAGATGGTGCACGAGCGGGAGCATGACAGGGAGGAGGGAGAGGAGGGGTGCGAGCAGGAGTACGATGAAGACGACCAGTAGTAAGAGTACGACGGCAGGAGAGAGAGAGAGAGAGAGAGAGAGAGAGAGAGAGAGAGAGAGAGAGAGAGACCTTCACGTAGCTGCTGCTCTCTTCGCCCGCAACTCCACGTGCTGCTTGCTCCGCTGCACCCGTCTCCTCCACCCTGCAGTTCGACGTAATATGCTGCTGAAGATGAAGGTGGTGTGGCGATGGGCAATGGAGTCTTGTAATGGGGACCTTGGTAAAGACGAAGGTGGTACAGGCCTTCAGTTCTAAACCACCACTTCCCCCGCCGGCCTAAAATGGACTTTCCTGGCCTTACGGACTGGGTTCTTAGGGGGGGCGGCGACCGGCAGGCGCAGGCGGGTCCGGTCCAAAAATTTCCAAGCGCGAACTTTGCCGATTTTTCGCCCTCAGAAATATTGGCAAAAAAATCTGAAAATTTGCTATCCTGTAGATTAGGCCGTGATCTTTCCAGGAAAAATATCAAAACAATTAAAAA